ACCCAGTGCTGAGTAACGGGAGACCAGTACTTCACATTTCTGGGAAGTGATATTTCTATTAATGCAGCCCAAAATAGCATTTGCCCTTCTTGCAACCACATCGCGTTGTTGACTCATCTTCAGCTGTGATCCACACCAATCCCAAGATCCTTCTCACTTGCAGTATTGTTGAGCCAAGTGTTCCCCATCTTGTAACAATGCATTGGGTTTCTTTTTCCCAGGTGCAGGACTTGGCATCTGATCTGATTGATTTTGTTTTTCTGTTGTTTTCAGCCCAGCACTCCAACCTATCAAGAACACCTTGAATCTTCTTTCTGTCTTCCAGGGTATTAGCTATCCCACCAAATTTTGTGTTACCTGCAAATTTGATAAACATTCCCTCTTCATCCAAGTCATTAATCGGAATCTCGAAGAGCACTGGGCCCAGGACTGAACCCTGTGGCACCCCACTTGCGACCTCTCCTCAGCTTGAGAAGGAGCCACTGCTGAGCACTCTCGGAGTCCAGTGTTGCAGCCCATTGTGGATCCACCTGATGGTTGCACCATCCGGCCCACTGTTTGCTAGATCAGGATGCCGCGGGGCACCTTGCCAGAGGCCTTGCGAAAGTCTAGGTAGAGAATGTCCACAGTATTCCCACCATCTCCTTGGGAGGCCACCCAGTCGAACATTGAGCTCAGATTAGTCTGCCAGGATTTGTTCTTGAGAAACCCACGTCGGCTTCCAGAAATCACTGCACTGTTTTCCAGGTGTTTGTAGACTGACTGCTTTATACTCTGCTCCAGAATTTTCCCAGGGACTGATGTCTGTCTGACCGCTCTGTAGTTCCCAGGCTCTTCTTTTTTTCCTTACTTGGACAGCAGTCGCTTTTCCTCAGTCATCCAGCACTCCCCCCGTCCTCCATGAGTTCTTGAAGATCTAGAAGGCAGTTTTTCTGAGAGTTCTTCCGCCAGTTCTTTGTGACCCTAGGATGGAGTTTATCAGACCCTGGAAATTTGAACTCATACAACCCAATTAGATGATATTGACCATTTGTCTGTTGATCTTGAGTTGCCATCCTGTTCCGTCATCTTCTTCTCCTCCTCCTTCAGGAAGCTCATAGATCTCCTTTTGGGAGAAGGCCGAGCCAAAGTAGGAACTGAGCACTTCTGCCTTTTCTCCGTCATTTGCTACCATTTTGCCATATTCATTGAGTAACTGAACCCGTTTCTTTCTTCTGTCTTTTACGTTGCGCATATCTGAAGAAGGCCTTTTTGTTCCTCTCGGCATCCCTCGGTGCATCCCTAGCTTTAGCCTTCCTGACGCCAGCCCTGCAATTCCGGGCTACCTGCCTGTATTGGTCCCTTGCAACCTGGCCTTCCCTCCACTCCCCATGCATGTTCTTTTTTGTTTTCGGATCATCTCCACGCTTTTTGCGAAGCCACAAGGGCTTCCTCTGTTGTCTTCTGCCCCCTTTCCTTGTTGGAATTGTTTGCAGTTGTGCTTTTAGAATTTCCTTTTTTTAGAAATCCCCACCCTTCTCAAAATCCTTTCCTCATCTGAGTCATTTGCCACGGGTGCTGGATCCGTGCCCCCCTCCTGTGCATTGGGCATAACTCACAGAAGAGCAGCATGGCGTGTCCGCTCCGTCAGGGTGCCCGGGGCCTGCTTTGCGTGGTTTTCACAGTCCACATCATGTTGAAACTGCGTAAGGGAGACGAGACAATGTGGACTGACTGTGAACGGTCCTCGTGGTTATTAAGCGAGCAGCCCCGCCGTGGGAGTGTCCGGCCAGAAGCCCAAATGCCTGCACCACCAGTAGAATCACCCTTGAACTGAGCAGCTGTCCGGGGGCTTCCAAGCCTTCCAGTTCAGTTGCTCCCAGCACCTTGCGCCCCGAGACCTGTTTGGAAACACCTGTGCTGAAAATAGCACACCTCACAGACTCCCCAGTGGCACAGTACAAATTGCACATGAGGCTGTGAATAATGAAAGGAAGAGCAGGAAATGCATCACGTAATTTTCTTTCCTTTTCAGGGTTGTTCATTTATTTTGACAGCTGCAATTTATTTTCCATTATCCCTGATAACATAGCCTAATGCAAGGGGAAACGTATACATGGCATACTTTGCTAAAAGCACCCTGAGCTTTAATCACAGAAGACCTGCTGCTGCGCTGGCCTGTCAATCATTATTGGAAGGATGTGTGTGTGGGGGGGGGAGAGAGATTCTGTTTTTCAAAACACATGTGCACCCATGGGACGAATTAGGATGCGTGCTAATTAAGTCATGCACTGAGGACCAAAGAACGTTTTCCTCTTTGCCTAGGAAGGGTTTCTTCTGTCTCCACCTGGTCAACATTTTAGTCCATCTCTCCTCACCTACCCACGTCCTGCTAATGTGACTCCAACATCATACACTTATTTTGAATTATTATTTCATATTGTAATGGTGCAGTTGCGTGTCCAGCCAAACAACTACCTCTCCAAGGCAGGTTACAATTGTAAAATCAAGGGTGAGCAGACAACAATTTGCCTGAGCAAACTGTTGTGTTGAACTACAGGTCCCATTGTCTCCAGCCAGCTTGCAGGGCACTTGGTCAGCCCCAGGATGCTGTGGACTAGAACCAAATGTGATCGTGACATCTTTATAAGTGCACTCCATATTTTACATACTGTACTTTATCTTTTCCCATCAATTTTCAGCCAGACTCTTATTTGTCCCCAGTGACTGCTAACTGGAATTTGTAAGGACACCGTGCCTTTGAATGTGGAGATTCTAAACTGATAGCTACTTACGGGACCTTTCCTGGTAAATCTGTCTAATTTTCCCTTAAACCAAACCAAGATCTGTGCTAGGAACGATTGCCGCATCTCGTGTCGGTGGGTTCCATGTGCTTGGGACCAAAGACAGTCTTCTCCCTTATGAGCTTGGCTGGACTTTAAGGCCACCCCTCAGGAGTCCCTTTGTGGGCAAGCAGATGCCTTTAGGCATGCCTTTGCACTATTCTTGTCAGTGGAGTCCTTACACCAGGAGTCCTGCCGAATTTCTTTTCATTCAACTTGGCAAGATTTCCCATCACGGACAAATGCCAAAAGGACAGAATCCAGTTGAACATCCTGCACAAGTCACATCAAACTGAACTTTTGAGTAGACTGTTTTTTAATCCTAGTACAAATGTATCCTCTCACCCCTGGATCCTAACCTGGAGAAATACCCAGTATTCCGCCTGTGATAGCCATTAAAAGAGTCCCACGATTACAGCCATGGGGATCAAAGGCAGATTCCTTGGTTCTGTTAAATGCGTTGGCTGAATTGCTCCACATGTTCTGCAAAGCTGCTCAGTGACCAGAATCCAAAGAAACCCACGCATTCCCTCGCCCCTCATCATTCAGTGGCTTCCAGGGGACAGAATCCATGGCAGGGCACTTGCCCTCAGAGGAAGGGATAACAGAAATCCGTTCCCACAAGAAGTAGGGGAACACAGAGGCCTCTTGGCGGTTATCGATTTCATTTCTTAGCCCGCCCTGCCATTGACCGGCAAGTCGGGGAGAGCAACTCACGGAGCCAGTGGCATGGGAAGCAGCCGGGGTGGGCAGCGTGTATGTAGTTTGCGTGAGCTGCTGCTCGGAGCACGGAACTCATGTGGAAGGAAAGCAAAGGATATTTAAATGCAAGAAAGGGCGTTTAGGCAAAATGGGCCAGTTCAATGCACCCTTCTCTGCCCCACTGGTATTCCCCGGCTGCCACTGGGGTTAAATGTACATATTTTGGCAAATGTTGGGCCCCCTGGGAGTAATGGCTGTAGACCGCTTAGCACACCGTGGAAGATGAGCGGACATGGTTGCCTCTGAGAGCCAGGTCATCTGCTTGCTTTGGGGACAGTGGAGTCAGAGAATCCATCGGCATGGCCGCCTCAGCCGGCGAAGGGTGTTTGGAAAGGATTCAGTAAACCAGCCCTCTGTTAGCGGACAGGCAATGAGAAAGATTCCTAGAAATATTCTCAGGAAAATCACTTCTGAGAAACTGTAGCTTAACGTTAAGTTCCCTTATATGTTCTCTTCTGTTCCTCACACGTGACGAATGCTTTCAGTTTGGGCTTGGCTCCTGGAAGTACACCTGTGCTCAGGTGCATCAAAGAAATGCTCACAGAAAACATACAGGAGTGTGTGCCATACCTAGACAATAAAATCAAGCGCAATTCTTCATTTTGAGGTTGTGTAGATGCAGGAAGACATGCTGAGAGAGTGGGAGCTGGCAGGCACGAAAACACGGCAGGTCTCCTGCTCCAGCATGTAATTTAGAGGCTAAAGTTGTGGTTGTGCCATACAACTCGGCTCCTGTTTTGGTGTTCGCGTGAGGCATTCATGGGCAGGAAACAGTCTGGGGCACTGGTCGAGGGGAGAGCAGCTGTCAGAAGGTAGGACCATAGGCCACGACAGGTAACATCAGGATCGCCTCTGGCACATCACTTTGAAACCTTACAAAAGCTAGAAAGTGGATGTGCGGAGAAGGTCGTGAGGAGAGCAGGAAGCGAGATGGGTTAGATGGTGCGGTTGCCATGCTGAATGTTAAGGTCTTCACCAATATGAAGACTACATCTTTGCCCATCAGGAGAACTAGATGGGGAGGAACTAGATGGACATCTTCTCTGACTGCTTGCAAGAGTTGCAGGTTTGATGCTCCCGCCCAGGGGCACAACAAACCTGGGAGTCAGCTCCACCAGCTTCCAGCTCCATATCGAATCCCCTTCAGGTTCAGTTTATGCGTAGCAAGCAATCGTCCTTTCAGTACTACACCTTACATTTTAAGCCTGGCGAAGCATTGCTCTCAGTGTGAGGGTTGGGGGCTCTCTCATTTGGATTGGAAAGTCCGGCCTGAGGATGCATGTTAGGTGGATGCCGTACTGATGCTACCGCCTTTCGAATGTGGTGAGCGCAAGACTGGGTGGATGCCTTTGTTGATGGTTTATCACAGGGGACGTGTGCCAGAGAGATTCAGTGTGGCTCACCCCATTCTTGCAGGGGAACCCAGCGCACCCAAGCTGGAAGGCCAGGTGGGAGAAGATGGCAACTCCTTTAAAGTGAACCTCATCAAGCAAGACGACGGAGGCTCCCCCATCCGGCATTATCTCATCAAATACAGAGTTGTAAGTCGGACCGTTTGGTTGGCCTCGGTGTTTGAGAATGGCATGATTTTGGTCAGTCTACCAGATAAATTTGAATTGCAGCAAGGATGGTAATTCTGAAGCAAGAACCAGTATTCTTGTGCTTTTCTTTAAGATACCTTGCGCAAGACTTAGCAGACCTTATCTGGAAATAATACTTTAAATTATATTTTCTTGTGTAATAAAATGATACTTAATACCGACTCCCATTAAGATTAGGTTGGTTGAGCAACTGAGTTATCCCCCCTGAAATCGGGGCATAACTTGGCTTATTTCTGAAGGGGCCGGGAGCGGTTTTTGACCTTGTCAGCACAGACAGCACTGGGATCGTTGGACCTGGGGGGGCCCGACAGCAGAAAACCGCTTTCATGCGCGAGGGATTCCCAGGGCCTTTGCACAAAGCCAAGCCACGCAGGAATGGCAAGAAACCATTTCTCTGGCGCTAGTTGGTTTCAGCTCTGCCCTTGGCCTGCAGTGACCCCTTTGCCCTGCCTTTCCCACCCACCCCCCTTCCCACCGTGTTGCTGCAGAAGCATTCCTCCGACTGGAAGCCCGAGATCCGACTCCCTTCGGGCAGCGACCACGTCATGCTCAAGGCTCTGGACTGGAATGCCGAGTACGAGGTCTACGTGATTGCAGAGAACCAGCAAGGGAAATCCAAACCGGCCCATTTTGCTTTCCGGACGTCGTCCCAGCCCACTATCATCCCAGGTACAGGAATAACCAGCTTCTCGCCACAGTTTTCTGCTTGAACTTAATGCAATGGCACAACATCCCTTAATATGCTTGAGTTATTTAAGAAATGAAGACACACCAAACTCCTCAGCAACTCGCTTGCTTACAGTCATCCTCATAACCGGTTACTCATCTAAAGCTTTCTCTCTTGGCCTTGTATGTGACTCGCACAGTAGGTGTGTCCACGGAGTCTGTGATCCCCAGGTATCCAGTCCCTGAAACGATGATCCTGCGTAACTTGATGGGGAGCCTTCCCCCCGGGCATCAAAGGAAGGAGGAAATCCAACTCTTGCGCTTTGCTTTTGCTACTCGTGATTCCCCCTGCAGCACGCGTGTCCTTTCCCCTAGCGTGGCCTGTGCCATGAAGGGGCCCCCCACGCACTGGCTGGCTAGGGATGGACAACCACACGGTGTCCGAGGTTGTTGAGCTTCTCCAAGGCCGCCTTTCAAGCTTGTTATCCCTCATTTGTGTTCATGAATTTGCGCGGGGTTTTTTATCCCCACCCCACCATGGGGGAAAAATACATTTCTATGGGGAAAACTATGTTTCTATGGGGAAAAACATTCCTAATTTTAAAAAATTGCATTTTTTAAAGAGCGTGTTCCTCCCAATTGGGGAAAATGCAATTTTTAAAAAGGATCTTTTCCCAGTTGGAAATGTTTGCTGTTCTCCATCAGCTAAGCCATGAAAATGTGGATCGGGGGATTTGGTGTACTTGGACATGTGTACTTACACACCATTTCGGAAGTATGTATTTGTGTGAGTGTGCATGTTGAAAACATGAACACAATTTGGGACGTTGCAAACATTTCCTAAGAATTACGTTCCTGCTCATGCTCAGCTTCTGGGTGGCCAACAGGATACGTTCGCATGATCTGTGAACAGGAATAAAATTCCCATGCGTTCGCATGATCAGCTGAGGCTAAAATTCATCTGCGCCATTTTCAGCCCAGGTGCCTCATGGCATGGGGCTTCAGCAGATGCGCTGCTCAAGATGTGTGAATCTCTCCATGTCTCCCATGTAAAACTTTGGGCTTTCCTTCCTGAGGGCCATTTTCCAACATAGAAAGACATGCAGCGTTAATATTCAAGAGTTGCATTTCTTGTGATGCGTTGATCAGCTCCCTTTTCGCTGTGTGGAGACATACAAGTGTGAGCAGTCACCAGAGATCTTGGTTAAATAACTCTCGTTATGGGGCCATGTCTAGGATTTGGTAGAAATGCAAAACTGGTGGCAAATGGTGGTCAGTACCGTTAACGAGCCAACATTGCTTGCCTGTGCAGCTTCTCACTGCTCTCACTCTTGGCCGGTAGAGAGATCCGTGGTGTAGCTATGCAGAGCTTCTGCCTGAACGCTTGGCCGTGCCCCCAGCCCCACCCTTCAAGGCACTGCCATTCCCGGAACCATGGCGTGGGCTCAGGGCAGAGAGAAGAGTTGCCGCAGGGCGAGGCAGAACCCCCAGGGACTGGCGCTCACCCGGCCAAGCTTCATAGACGCAGTTCTCTGTCCTCCGTAGCGACAGAAATTCCCAACACAGCCTGCTCCGCCAAGGCAGTGAAGCCAAACACTGTGGCGAGAAGAGCCGGATTCTGCCGGTGCTTATTTTTGGCTGCTTCTGTGCGATCCCGTTTTGTTTGGGGCAGTCGAGGGGACCGGCGACAAGCTAGAAGGAGCAGGAGAGCCGTGGCACACCCTGCCCATTGCAAAGCCTCTGCAGCTGCCCCCCAGTCGCGTCGCCCCCGTTGCCGAGGCAGCAAAAGGAGGAGCCCCCCTCCTGCAGAAGGGGGCTCTTTCGGCCTGTGTAGCCCCCCCCCCACATTGCCCTTTTTATTTTGCAACAGAGGGGAGGGCCTCTCGGCCAGATGAAGGGTGGCACCCTGCTAAAAGCGTCCCAGTGACTTACTGAAACAAATGACTCTCTGTCTTGCCGGGCAGGAAATTCTGGGTTTCCACACAGTCATCTATTTAACAGACTTGGGGGGCGGGGTTCCCCCGTTTTGGCTAGTGCCAAAATGGTTTTAAGTTGGGGGACTCTCCAATCCAACGTAGCTTGCAAAAGAGGGAACCTCTTGAGGGATGGGCTCCCCCTGAAGGCCAGCACTGAGCAGCCGGTTGGACCGGCGGCATTCGTGGCCCTTTTCAACTCCCCTGCTCTGTGCTTCTGTATCTTCTGAACTGGACTTTCCTCCCCTGCTCCTCAACAGTAATTCCTAATTACTGTTGAATGTGAATATTTCAGGGAAAGATGATACGGACAAATACTTGAAGGCAACGGCTTTGACAGGCAAAAGTTTGGCATTCGTGCCTTGGGTTTTAAAGTCAGATCTCAAAGACCACATTTGAAGAAATTCACATGTTGAGCTTGGGAGCTGGAAAATTCTGCCAAAATCTTGAGTGTGCATTACGTTAGTTCAGTTCTGTTTTAAGCCGCGAGGATAAGTAAGTTATTGTGTGCCGCACACTTGGCTAAAAAGAACAGTGAAAGCACAGGGATGAAAAATGGTAAATAGCTGTTAACGTTGGGGACACGAGCGTCGATGGAGAGCGGCGTGGAGTTCCAAGGGGATGCAAAACGCTGCCCCCAAACCTTCCAGGTTTTTTTGCTCAGATGAGATTGGGAAACATGGAGAGGAGTCCAGGATAGACAGTGAAGGGGTGGGGGAAGCCGGAAGCACATGGAGGGAGCCAGGGTCATCCAGGCAGGCTAAAGGTGCAGTCCTTAACTAGGGAACTCTGGGGAAAGAGAGAGGTGGTCCGCATTAACCCCTCATGGGGAAGAGGGCCCAGGAGAAACAAGTGTGGCGGTGTGGAGTCTAGAGGGAGGGAAGGCTGCCCAGGACTGGAGCCAGTGAGGGAGGATGGAAGCAGGGACGGTTGGGCAGCGAAGTCGCAGGTTGTGGGGACGGCAGAGTTCGTAGGACACACACGCTCCGTCGCACAAGCGTGCGATGAAAAAACGCCTGGATAGAAACACGTATTGCTGGAACGCTGCTTTGCGGGCGCTTGTCCACGTATTTGCATTTTGTGTGCATCGTTCCCCAGCTGCACTGGGAAGCTTGCAAAATGGCTGATTCCCGAAAGCAGCCCAGGATCGTCTTGCTGAGAGGCTCGGGAGACAGTCCGTTAAAGCAGAAGCCCTTGGCCGTGCAGGTTACGTGCCAGGGAAGCCGTTGCTGGCGTGGCGGCACCCGCATTTCTGTGCCTACACGCAGGGAGGAAGTGTAGCCCAAGCCCGTCCTGGCGAGACGTTTGGCATTGCCGGATGAGCTCAGTCTGAAGCAACGTCCTCCTCGCTCAGTGGTCCGTTCTGGCCCCCTGACCCACAAAAGGACATTACTGAGTTGGGGGAAGAATGGGGAGGGGGAATGAAATGACTGGGGGCTGGAGCAGCTCTCCTGGGAGGAGCAGCTACAGCAACCGGGACTGGCCAGCTTAGGGAAAAGGCGATAAAAGGGATTAAAATAATGCATGGTGTGGAGAGGAAGACCTCTCTCTCTCTCCTGCCAAGACTCAGACCCAGGGCCATCCCATGAAGCTGATCAATGGGAGGTTCGGGACAGACAAAGGGAAGCATTTCTGTACAGGGCATGTAAGTAAACGCCGGAATTTGCGCCATGGGAAGCGGTGACGTCTGGCAGTCTGGAGGGCTCTAGTGGGGGACTGGGCAGATGGACGAGGGAGCAGGTGGTCAGTGGCCACGATCCCTGCTGGCCAGCCGAGGGGCGTGCCTGCGTTCTCCCGTTGCTGAGGAGGAGGCCTTGCGCCCACCCTGCCTGGGGGGTCCTGTGTACGGAGGGTCCCGCTTGTCCCCGTGTGCACGGAGCGCTGGGCTGGGCGGACTCTTGCTCCGACCCCGCACGGCTCTCCTGCCGGCCAGCCGAGCCACCCACGGGCCCTGACCCCATGTCGCTCCACGCCGCCCGGTATCGGTGCCCCCACGGCGAGCCTTGTCCCCTCCTCTCACGTAGGCGTCACGATGCTGGGAGGGACCTGCCGCCCAGGCATGCTGCTCTCCTGGGGCACCGAAGGGGTCCTCGGGTTTGGGGGGAGCCTCGCGTGGTGCTTCCAGCTTTCCTGTTCGCCTCAGCTGGCCAGTGGCATTCGCTCAGGAGCCGCAACCGAACGGTTGTGCCCAGAGCCAGCCAGGAAGACTCGCAGTCCGAGGCAAAGCTCGGACGGGTTTCTCAGGGGAGGGAATTTGCCCAGCTCTGCCAGAAAATAACGGGGTTCCTTTGCCGCCTCGCACCCCCCCCCCCAGCATACGTGTCGCATTCTTGATCTCTGTGTCATCCACTCGCTAACCTCACCCTCCCCGAATCCCCCCCGCCGCCGCCTCCGCTGGCCTCCACATCGAGCCTTCCGTTTCCATCGCTGCCGCTTGCTGCCGTTGCTGCTCTGTTCTTCTAACCTTTGGGTCATTTTTTAGTTTATACTAAGTTAAAGAAACCTTTTAAATTCTTATTGTTTTTCTATATTTATGACCTATTTTTTCCTTTTATCTATTTTCTCTCTCTCTTTCTCTCTCTCTCTCTTTCTTTTCCCCTTCCGGTCCCTTCCCCTGTTGTTCCTTTCCTGTGTCTGTTGTCATACATGTCACTTTGGACCAATGGAAACATCCGCCTTGCCACATGCACCAAATTTTTTGTTCTTGTAATGGCGATGATTTAATATATACCTCTACGCACACGCACACGTACTCTGCCCCCTTCCCGTTTTGGCGGCTGCAGCAACCCTGGGAAGCCCAGCAGCCCCACTGCCCTTCGCGTCCCTGCTCGTCTCCGCGGCAGCTCTGCTTTTGCTCTGTTAGAAACGTTTGCAAACAACAGCCACATCAAAAAGAAATTTGCTTTTGAAGACCCTGGTTTTTTCGCCGAGGCCTGAAAGCAAGATAGAATTCCTTATTTCAAAGGATTGCATCTATTTTGGGGGGCAGTCAGGAAATAAAGTGCAGAACTCAAGAGATCATTATTTTCT